ATGACAATATTCTGAGAATATAACTCTTATAGTTATATTCTATTAACAATTTCTTATAAATTGTTATGTAACGATTCACTCCGTTACACCCGTCACATCGAGGGTGACAAAAAGGAAGACACCTTGGACCTGTCAAATTTGACAGGACGAGCAAAGACTCGGGCCTTAGGGATCAAGCTTCACGACCCAAACGTGTTTGAGTCGTTGGAGATCTTGAAACCTCGGCTCAAAGAGACGTTTGATACGCCGAGAGCCGACTTCAGAGCACGCTCTGCACTCTTAAGGCTAAAGCAAGGTAAGCGTTACGTGCACACTTACGCACAATATCTACGCTACCTTGCGAGTAGCATCACGGAAAACCCTGTTGATGAGCAAAAGCTCATCAATGTGTTCATCTAAGGCCTTGTAGATGGACCGGTGAAGACTTACATTTTCCGAGAGGACTTCCATACGCTGGAAAAGGAGATATCTTATGCGGAACAAGAAGACTATATCCTGGGACAGTCTCAGGCTAACTCCTCAAACTATCGTCCGACGAGACGACAGGAAACAGGAGGTCCCGAACCAATGGACCCCTGTTACCTCGAGAGCGATAACTCTCGATCTCTGAATCATAAGCGAACGGCAAGATGCCAGCGCTGTCAGAAGATTGGACACTACGCTCATGAGTGTAGTGTCCCAAGCACCGCAACACGTCCAAAGACAGGACGTGATGACCACCGTTGGCCAAGAAAAGGTCCAAGGCGTGGGTCCGACCATGCCGCTAGACCGCGACAGCAAGTCGGACCGTCCAAAAACGGTCAGGGTCAGTAGGGGCGGAGCACCCTGCTGATCCAGCAACGTCCAAAGAATTCGCAGGACTCTTGACGAAAGTTTCTTTTAACACACAGTCACTGTGTGTTACTGCCCCTAGTGATGAGGAGTCCCTCATCATTTTGAAGATCTAAGTGACAAGTAAAATGTGACTTCGTGCACTAGTTGACTGTGGTGCGTCGAACAGTTTCATCCGATGCCAGTCGCTAGGGGATAGTAGGCTCGTCTTTGTTGAGCGAGAGTTCCTTCCAACGAAGATGACAGTGTGCCTTGCTACAGGCGCATCCGTACCAGTGAAGAAATGTGTAGTGGGAATCCACTACACGCTAGAAGGAAAACGATACGATGATGAATTCATTGTACTGGATTTGGATGACAAATTTGATGTCATCCTTGGTCTGCCATGGCTTAGAAAATACGAGCCATGGATCAGCTTGAAGCATCGATCCGTTAAGATGCCTGCCGTTTGTTCATCGGATGGCCATCTGATGAACGTCTTGGAGCGTCCGCGAGCGTGTGGATGTACTACGAGTGAGTGCGATGGCCTCACTTGTGATACGGTCGTTAGCCCGAATGCACAAGATCACAGTGTAGAAGGCCACTACACTGTGGAACCAGCTTTCGGCATCTGCGTAGAGACACAGGCTGCGTTGAAGGTTCACCACTCGAAAAGGATAAATAGACTGGAGCACGGATGCACGCCAAGAAGGGTGCATCTAAGAATAGATATTAGTGTTGTTCAGGATGATCAACACGCTGGAGCGAGATCGACTATCAGAGAGTCTATCAACGAGGACGTGACTGTGGTAGTCCACCTACAGTCAGCACACGTATTGTAAGAAAGTTTAGCGTTCCTGAGAGTGAAACTCCCGAGAGAGGTATGTTGAGGGTGTGGATCCCCAACCACCTGTGGATATGTTTTTCCAAAAAAGCACCGAGACAGTTGATGTCTTGGTGAATGACGGATCAGGTGTAGGCGCTAATACACTTGATCTGGCTACACCTCCGAAGTCAGCTTCGAAGTTAATCAAGTTGCCAATGCTAGAATTTAAAAGATTCTTGTGAGATCTGCGTAATGACAAGATTAAGCAGATCTGCGTACTCGTCACAGAGGACGATAAAGTCGCCGACATTCGGTCGGCACAAGTGTTTACTGGGAACAAACGGGTTCTCAGTAGCTCATCGATGGAAAAGAGCGTCCTCGATGAGAAGACCCAGTTTGAGCCGATCACGTCTCACTCTTGGGGGTCTTTGAAGACAAATCCTTAGTAAAAGGATTTGGTCAAATTCAAGGATGTTTTCCCGTAATCCGTGCCATGCGAGCTGCCCAAGGACAAAGGCATTCGGCATGACATCGAACTGAAACCCGGTTTGAAATGCTGTGTCATGAAACAGTGGTCACTGCCTCGTGAACGTGTCTTAGCGATCGAAAAGTTCTTTGCCGAGCGGCTGGTCATATGAGAGAATCAACATCCCCACACAGCGCTCCGACCTTCTTTGTGCGAAAGGCCACAGGACGGTGGCGGATTGTGCACGCGTTCAACAAATTAAACCCTGCAACGGTACCGGCCCAAAAGACGATACCGAGGAAGGACATCATCATTGATGGTATGGCAAAAGTACCATCTTTTTGTCCATGGATCTGATGGATGGATTCGACTAGATTCTCTTGTGTGAACGGGATATCCCTTACACAGCAGTGAACACCCCCAGTGGTATGCTCTGGGAGTGGCTAGTGATGCCACAGGGGCTAAATAACGCCAATGCAACATTTAACAGATGTGTTAAATTCTGTTGCGATCGGTTGGACCTTATGCACCGAGTTTCTTTGACGCTGTCTTCGTCCATAGACGAGCTATGGATGGCAAGGCGGACGTGGAGGTTCATAGAATCCACGTCCGGAAGGTTCTTACACTAAACGAGAGAATAAGTTGTTCGCGAACCTCAAGTAGTGTTTATTCGCAGCGAACGACATACCACTTTTTGGCTGCATCGTGGATAAAAACGGCGTACGCCCTATACCAGAATAGATTGAGGCAACTAACGACTGGCCTGTGCCAGTCGACGTCAAGGGACTTCGAAAGTTCCTTACGTTAGCGGCGCACTTGCACAAGTACTCGCGCAACTACGCCGATATGACCGTACATCTCTCTCTTCTTTTAAAGAAAAACAAGAGATGGTCGTGGATTGCTGAGTGTTAACACTCTTTTAAAGGCATCAAGAAAAGATTGGTACAATCTCCTGTGTTGGCGATTGCAGATCAGGATAGGCCATTTCATGTGGTCTGTGACGCCAGCGATTTTGTAATCGGCTACGCGTTAATGCAGTACGACTCAGACGGCGTTGAGCTCGTCGTCTTTTATCAATCGCGTCAGCTGCAAGCAGCTGAGCGTAACTATCCAGTAGTGCATGACAAGGAACTTCTTGCCATGAAATATGCACTGGCCAAGTTCCGGGTGTATCGCTTTGGAGATAGGCCCTCCATCGTTTATGCTGACCATGCGTCGTTACGCACGGCCGTAAACAGTCCACACCTCTCGCAACGAATGGCGAGGTGGCTGTCTTTCTTCGCGGAGTACAACTTTTCCATCAAGTATAAATCAGGAGGCCTTAATGTCATCGCTGATGCTCTTTTGCGTCGGCCCGATTTCTAGCCGACTACTCAACACAACAGTAGGGGTGATCCCATTGTAGCAACACTATCAGTGAGTGTTCCGTCGTTGAGCCTGCTCGACGACGTGCGAAAAGCATACGCAGAAAGTAAGTCTCTTCTGCGATTAATGGATTATGTATCCAATCCGTGTAATCAAGCTTTAAAAGGTTGTCGTCTCAAAACCACTCTTCAACCGAATGGTATCCAGTTTGTGATGGACTGCTGTACTATACAGCAGTCAACGGCGACACACCTCGTGTCGTCGTTCCAGCTCATAATGATTTGCGATTGCGCATCGTGTTTGAGTGTCACGATGCACCAACAAGTGGGCATCGCGGTAGAGAAAAGACTCACCTCGTGGTGAGTTGTGACTTGTACAGGCCCCGACAGTATGAGTTTGTGCGGAACTGCATTCGCGCTCGCAAAGTTTGTCAACGGGTGAAGCCCAGTCCTTCGTCCTGCGCACCCTTATAGCCTCTTTCGATTCCGGCAGAGTGTTGGTAGTCCGTATCGATGGACTTCGATTTGGTTTTCCCGAAGACGTTCGCCAGAATACTGGTGTTCTTGTGTTTGTTGATCGATTCAGCAAGATGGTACATCTTGTTGCTGTACCGGAGTCAATCACAGCCCAGGGCTGTGCTCGTGTCTTCTTCGTACTATATTTTTTACTTCACGGGTTACGCCGTGAACTCGTTTCTGGCAGGGACCCCCGCTTACCAGCGGAGTTCTGGCAATCGTGTTCCGTTCACTTGGAACACGTTTGAAGATGTCAACTTCTGACCATCCAGAAACAGATGGTCGGACGGAACGCGTTAACCGCGTCCTCAAAGAGATACTTTAAAGGTACGTTCACTCTTTTACGAGTTGGAGTGAGTTCTTGCAGATAACGGAATTCGCCATCAACAACTCGGTGCACGCGTCGACAACGCATACACCGTTCTTCGTGTTAGGCCTACGCCATCCGCGTATACCCACCGTCTTAGAGTGTGCCTCTGAATTAAGGTGGAAGACTCGCTCGAACAAAAACCGATCTGGTTCTTGCTCATCACACGTCGACGATGGTGTCGACGTAATGGATGCCGATGCCGATCACATCGACATCGATTATGATGATGACGACGATGCTGGTCTTTTCGGCATCAAGAACGACTGCCACAGAGAGGAAGATGAGGCCCTCACTGGTGAAGAAAAAACTCTTTTAGCTGTGCGCACAAAGCACACTGATGTAAACAAGAACGAGTCAGCATTGGATTTTGTGCTAACTCGCGAGGCAGTTGTTCGCTTCGATCAACACTCATTTGCGGATGCAATAGACAAGCAGAAAAGAAACGCAGGCAAACATAGAAGAGCAAATGTTTTTTTCCTTATAATGAAGGAGAAATAGTTTTACTTTCCACACTAAATCTACCAAAACACGCAGTGACAAACGTGGGCATCAGTAAATTACTGCCCAGGTATATCGGTCCATTTCGTGTGCTGCGCCGATTGGGCAACGCATACACGATTGAACTGCCTCGTAAGGTGTGCACGCATCCTACGTTTTACGTTGGACGTCTCCTCTCGTACTATCAGTACGAGCCTGTTTCGAGATGCAAAGAACACCTCCGCGGTCAAGGGCCGAGACCACCTTCGAGCGGTCCCGTTCCAACGAGCCAGTATGGTCGACTAGCGAAGTAACCTGCTCACGCAGCTGAGCGATGTCCTGACGAGATGCAGCCAGCTCGTCACGTAGAGAAATAGTCGAATGTTTGTTCTCAAGTTGTGCAAACGCAAACGCTTCACGATCGTCCGAATGATCGCGCGCTAAGGAAATGTAATTGCTCTTTGCAATGTAATGGAGCTCATAACGCCGAGCCCGTTCATGAGCCAGGTCATCTTGCAACTGTTCCGTTACACGGTTAAGCTCGTGAACATTAAGTAGATCCAAATCTCGATCCGGATCAAATGTCCCCGCCACCATTACATTCTTTGGTAGATTCTCGCGGTGGTCAACGCTTTCTGGTGGACCGTATCTTAAACCATCGCGACGTGAAAGGCGTTTGGAAGAGTTACCTCGTCCGCTGGCGTGGCTATCCACCGGCGTGGGACAGCTGGGAGCTTTGTGGTCAGCTGATTGTTGATGTCCTGGGTCTCATCGAGCAGTACGACGAGACCCACCCGCTGCGTTCGATCGAAAAAGCCGTCGGAAAACGACCTCCCCGAACGCGAGTACAGGGATTGCAAACTGTCGATCCCTTCGACCATCTCAGAAGAGATGCGCGCCCTCCAGTAGGGATCACTAGGGAGGGAGGCCTCCCTAGGGGCACGGTTTGAGTTGTACAAGCAACCTGGATGCGAATCACCCCTCGAGAGACAAGGTAATCCTGCCTCTCTTGAAAGCCAGTGCAACTTGTATCACGCCCCGACTGGGTTGCGTCTCTCAAATCTGATGCGGGCTGCATCAAGTTTGGTGAGCCAGGCCTCACGGCCAATGCACTCGATGTCGTGGATGAGAGCATTCCATCCTTGCACCAAGGCCTTCCCGCCACCCCACAGTTGCCATTATACCACCGATGTTTAGAAAACGCATCAATGGAGGATTCTCCTACATTCGAGCAACAGTATTTTAATCCCGTTCGGTGGTCGTACCGGCCACTTAATTGTACTCCTTGGATGATGGCATCCACGGAGACTCCACTTGAGGACATGTCGCGGGAAATTGCGGTCCCTAGCCTCTTGAGAAGTGTCAGCTTGGACGCTGACACCGGTAGCAACTCGATACCTCAATTTGCTTCTCTCACGTTGACGCACAGGTGCGTAACCGCTATAACCCAAAATCCCAGTAGCTGGACTTGCGTGATGCGAGGATTCATCAGACGAATCTTTCGGTCCAACTATCTCGGACATGATGGCACCACATCTCTCAGAACCAGTCAACCTAGCTCTATCAGGGGCTGACCCGGGTGATACGGAGGCAGGAGGCGCCGCCTTCGAATCGGATACATCATCCGACTTGCCCGAATAGATGAGCTATATTTCAGGCTCATCCCCATTTCGAAATGTAACACCCACTGGAGACGTAACGGATGAAATTGTCGCAAGTGGTGACCCACCACGTGAACTAGTCGCAACGGGCACTGCCGGTCGCTCACTTGCAGCAGCAGTCGAGCGGTTACTTGATGTTAAGGCTTGAGTGGTATCGTCATCTGTTGCAGGCATGCGTGCAACCACCCACCTTGCCACTTTAGTAGCGAGTTGCATGGACTTAGACACCATGCTTTAAATTAACGAAGTACTTGGATTTTAAGCATAAGTTTGCCCCTTTCATTGGGTGATTTAACAGTGGTCACCCTGTCCCCGACCACTTATATTCAGTCAACGGCGTGATTGCTGGTTAGGGGGATAATGTAACGGGTTAGCCCGTTACAATTAATTTAGACGAAACGGTGTCAATAGGAAGATTGTCTAGCTTGACAGTCCCCTGCTTATATTACCTGGGATTGGTAAGATTGAAGGGATACTCTAAAGGTAATATTCACGTGCTGCTGAAGACTGGTTAATATTCACGTGCTGCTAAAATTAATTGATATTAACATATACTAACCATAAAAAACAGCAATCGCTGCCAGACGCGCGTAATAGGTGGTGAGCAGGTTGTCGTTATATGACAATAAAAAAGAATTAGTTAAATAAATATTGATTTACATTGATAGCTTAATTAATATCAACGGTTATATTGTCACCTATACTGAAACAAATTGTTTAAAAAATTAACTCTCTCTTTGCACGCGCTAGTGTACATGAAGATTCGTGGCACCCAACCAGAGGTTGACCCGTCACATCTTCCCACCTATCGCTTGAAAAGAATAGATAGAAAGCTTGAAGCACGAACAACACGGGATCACTATCGCATTCCAGCTGCGATGCTTTGGTCATGTGGGATCCGATCTCTTGGTGATGTAGGTGGACTGATGTAGACTTGGACTTGGACCTTGTACATGCTTGTGATTATATTCCGGCCTACATCATGTGTAGTGTCATCTAAAACTGTCGACTGCTAATGCACAAGAAGTCGTCAAAGGTGGATCCTCAAGCTCAAATCTTAAGCAGGGTTCTCTCTTCGGTTCAATGCCTGTTTTATCAAACTTGGCTTGCATAAAGTCAGTCAATCATCCAGATTAGGAGCTGGAGAGCTATATTAAGGTAATGGTAGGTTTTAGCATCCATGCCCTCACAATACATGTCCACCTTTACACAATTACTATGCTTAAATTTTCAATAAATTGCAAGGAACATATGAATCCCGGATGTTTCGGACAAGAAATTATAGTGAGAATGTTTTCACCACAGCAGGGATACCAAAAACTCACATTTCTCTTGCGACTATTCTTTTTGCACAACTGGGTTAACACGTCTCTAGCCATCCACATAAAAGATTGCAGAGCATTTAACAATCTTACGCCTTCTTAACGTTGCGGAAGCTATGCCCATTCAGAACGTAATGCCCGTAAAATACACGCAGTCGTCAACGCAAATTTTGAAACAATGGACAATATCGAATCAGCGGATGTGTGATTAACCTGTCAGAATACCTGCTGCACCAACGACAAAAACTGGTTTATATCTATGGGTCTTCTTAATGTGCCAATCTAAAAAAAAAACAGGCTACGTTTAGAATAGCTACTAATCACTTGTAAAATTTCTTATAGACTACAGCTTGTTTTATCTACCATTACACAGTCTTAATTCGCGCTTTCTCATTTTGCTGGTTCAAGACATAATCCTTAGCGACGGGAAATCCCACAAGGGTCCATGTATCAGTACACTGACCAACTCCAAGGTTAGCTTCAGAAGTGCACTTTGATTCGGATGGCTAAGCGGATTTTGCTCTTGGGTCATTTAATTCAGGGGCCAGCAAAATCCTGACTAAGAGTTTAATAATTACTGTAAGTCCCACTGAATCTTTTATGGCGTAATATATGGCTCCTTCCTTGTAGTTGACTTCGTCTTGCCCCCAAATCGAAATCTGAGGTCCACAAAGAACTCAATCTATCCAGACGAACCATCAAAAGTACATAGTATGGCCATGTGCTACTGAAAGATGAACAAATGGTACACTAACTTATAAGGGTCATTGCGGTCTTAAAGGAGTCCTTTGCGGGACCTGGCTCAAGCTCAGCATAGGGTCCAGCGATTTATTTTATCTTTCAACATTATTTAAGGGATTGTCACTTTACCTTTTTTTATTGACCACTTAAAGCATTGACAGGTGAAATATGAAGGTTTATTGCAAAGGGGGTGAATGCTAAACGGTTATCAACATTATTTTATAAAGCATTAAATGTAATTTTCAGAAGCAAGTGGCCGCTAAATTTAAAAATCAATGAAGGCTGACCAATTTCCTTTTGTCTTTGTCGCTTTGATACGTTAATGTAGTCGATTCTAGCGACAGCACCAGATTCATTCCAGAGAACCGGCAAATTGTGCCGGACTCCCCCATAAGACCTTATGGCTAGCACGAAAACTTCGTCGATTCTGATTTGTGGCGTTGTCGCACCTTGAAAATAATAATCGTCTCGAAGTTTCAACAAAATATGGCCCGTTTTCTACGGCCTTAGACGTAGCTAAAAAGTTATTTAGACCCAAGTATATGGTGCTCGGTGGTGTAGAAGCATAACCTGCTTGTCATTTCCCCGGCCGTTTGCCACTTTAATTGCTTTAAAATCGCCACTTTAGGAAGGACTTATGGTTGGCTTGATACATCTGCCACACAGTCATGTCTTGGTTATAGATAAATTGGCCTGGTGACGCATTCTATTGTGATAGCTTTCCCTAACTGCAAAATTCTGATCGTCTTGTTTTTTTAAAAAAATTTTTGACGAAGCGCTTTAATTCGTTTTAGAGTATAACAAAATGTAGAAAAAAATCAGTGCATATTTTTATGATATACATTACTAGTTTTTGTCGTGCAACTCACAAGTTTTCCTCCAAATTTTTTAATATTTGGAGAAATTAAACAATTGTTAATCATTAATTTATTTTTATAAGAGAGATTTAATTTCTGATTTACAATGGTATAGCTTAAACACATAAGCCTCTTTACAAGCGACACCATTCCATCACAGGATGGTGTTGAGAAGCTTATTGTGTACGGTTTTCACAGATGGCATTTGCCAGCGGATTTTTGGCGTTATTGGTCGGAATATCATCTCGTATCTCTATAGCAGATCTATTTATCGATGGATACATTCAGCTAAAGTCATTAAAGTTTTCTCTGGGACTGCAACTTCTTGCCATCTTGTGGTTCGATTACTAATCATAAAAACCAAAAATTTTATAATACGGATGGATAGATCAGCATGAATGAGGTGCTAATAAACAGTTGATCGTTGAGTTTGCGGTATAAGTGTCCATAGCTTATCTTTCCACCATGCAACTAAACTCGCTTGCACATCAAATAATGGGCAATGAAAAAACGATCGATGCTATACGCCCGGCAAAAAACAAAAGTGTTGTATCGTCTTGTATTGACGATCGGGACCTGGATGACTAATGTTCTGAAGAAATTCATCCACCGTATCTTCTCAAAGACTGTCTGAAATGTAGACCTTTCCGAGACACATGACGAGCGTGCAATTAAATAAAGTTAGCAACTTTTAGTCCTGGTTGTTCTGTCATGACCTCCATTCCAATTAAATGTGTATTGATGTCGAATTCTTTTAATGCTGTGTGCTTACCGATAGATGCAGTAAACATTGCGGATGTACTGGGGTCGAGTGAAATTTCCTTATGAGTGATGAACCTTCACTTTTTTTAACACATGCGAGATTTCAGCAACGGTTTTATAGTCTTTTTATTGTAGTAGAGATAGAGTCGATTGCAAAAAGTACGCCGTTCGACCCGAATACTAATATTACTTAAATATCAAATTGTTTTGGCCCGTTGAACACATAAAGGAAACCCAAGAGGCATAATGCAGTACTCTCGGATAGACTCCTTAAAAGATATTAGCTCGATTTTCATTGTAGTGTAATTCACTTAATGTTTGCTCAGGGTTTTTGAGTAGCATGCAAGGATACTTATTGATGCATGATAATCCGTACTAGCTTGTGTCACATGCGTCGACGTATGCAGGAAAGGATAGATGTAGCGGAGCTACACAGCTCCTTAAGTCAGAGGAAGACTTAACGCTCTACGAGCAACTTAGTTCTAAAGAACTAACGACTTTACGAGTCAACAAGCTTTATAGCTTCAGATCCCTGTTCCAGGGGACCTAACGATTCAGTGAATCGACAGCACTTAGTGCTCAAGAGTAGCTACCTCAAGGAGGTGTCGCTAACTCTTAGTGATCAGAGATCAACGATCAAGACGGCTCGCAAGCCACGTGTCTTTCAGATCAAAATGGGAACTGATTTTATTTTTGTTAAAGCCTATAGAATATCTTAATCCTACTCAAAGATCTTTCGTATCTAATGGCTAACACTCGTCAGCCCCTACAAACCGATAAGATATTCTATATCACCTTCACAGAAGCGAACCCTCAGGTGTGTAACACCTCTGGTACAAAGTACCATGATTTCTTGCAACCCCGTTACACCCTCCCCCACCAGACTGACGTTTGCCAAAACGTCAATCGAGCTCGTGTTCTCAGCGAGAACAGTGCGCGTACGGTGAACCTCACGGTAACGTACGCTCCAGCACGATGTCCTCATCACCAAACGAGTCAAAGGCTCTGTGTGACTACCTCGGAATAGAGGAAGAGGTGGACTATGGTAGCGATACCAGTGTCCGCGGTGGCACAGGGACAACTTCCGGCTCACTGATGCCTGAGGCACAACTTTCGAACACCCCAAATCCGTTCGCTGAACGTGGAGGTGCGAGCGCGCCGCCAGCGCAGCATGCAGCATCTGGTTCTGATGAGACTATCATCACGAACTCGCTCGATGAGCAACAACAACTGCTTATTCAAAGAGAAGAAAACGCTCAGCGTTATGCACAGATGACTGCAACCCTTGAACGCCAGCGTGATTATGTGTTCACCCCACCCAGTGTGGAGGAACGTCTGCGTCAAGCGGCCGGCCAAACATTGGCAACGTGGGTCATTGGCCATGGGCCTAAGACTCCTGAGGAGGTGGTGAGCTGCCAGGCACTTCGTGAGAGGTACCTGGAGCCGCACCTAACGACTCAAAGTCAATACAAGGCACGCCTTGACATGCAAGCACGTGGTGCACCAGTTCCACCGATGAAGGGTATACCCATTCTCCTGCTCGCAGACGAAACAGCGAGTGAAGAAGACGATGCCTTTGTTCACTGGGTGCACTATGTGCGTCGCCTCAGCAACATTTTTGCTCTAAGGGCTAGTGCCCATGCGGCGGATGTGCGTCTCGAACGCAAGCTTCGGTATGATTATGCCAAGCTTAAGGCCAGAGGCCAATTGCGCACCGACACGCGCTATGCTTCGGCTACTAAGGTAGCCGCGAGTGCTGGTCAGTCTGTGAACAACAACCCGCCAACCCGCACCACTAGTGGTGGTGAACGGCCTCGGCCTCGAGATGACCATGGCCACGATGCTCAAAAGCCTCCAAAGCATATGGGCAGTCTTGCCGAAGGGGTGCCTTAAATTCCCATGAGTTTTCAGACTCAGGGTACCCACGCCACTTTACCAGATACTGGTATTGGCCCTGACGACGACGAGAGTAGTCTCTCGACATGGAATTGACGACACCCATGCTCATCGAGCAAAGTCGGTGGCGGCCGGTGTACCGGTGGAGGCCCACGAGAAATTGGTTCTCGAAGTGAAGGGTCTTCAAGAGGCCTTGGGTAAGTCCCAGTGCATGCTGGATGCGATGCAAAGCCGCCTTCAGGCGATGGAGCAAGCTCAAACTCGGAGCGAGGCTCAGTTGGACTTGCTGATTCGTCTACAGCAATCCGGGGCAGTGCCCTTGTCGTCGGCGCAAGCGCCTCCAAGTTCACATGGGAAGGATCCCGGTACGGCTTAAGTAAGCCTACGTAGAACACTGGATGTGTGCGCAATTTGCGCGGGAGGTTTAGTGTATACGCAAGTCCCTTCTTGGCCGTGACCGTAAACGGTCCAATAAAGCGTGGACGCAACTTTGTCTTAAAGACAGCAGACACTACATTTGTAGGTAGATTTTTAGCATTGGGTAGTACTTGGTCTCCGACCTCATAACGTTCAATACAATTTCTGCCTTTGGCATCAGCTTATTGTTTTTGGGTATTTTGGCTATCAGCCATTGCGTCACGCACATGTCTTAAGACATTTAATCGCGTTGCGAGAAACTCGCTTACCTGTTTTTGAACAGTAGCAGGGCTGATATCAGCAAGCCGATCGGCAACCTCTCCCCCACCAAGCCCTGATTCACGTAGTGATAGCGTTAACGGAACGCGAGGGTGAGTGAGACCGTTTATATAGAACGGAGTAAAGCCTGTTGAGGCATGAACAGCGTTATTCAACGCAAACTCAAAAATAGGGAGCATTGAGCTCCAACGCCTAGGCGTATCAGCGCAAACACTGCGCAAAATGTCGTTGATGACGCGGTTTACACGCTCAGTTTGACCGTCGGTCTGCGGATGATCCGCTGTGGACATGTCCAACCAAGTGCCAAGCACCTTGAAGATAGACTTCCAAAACTTCCCAGTGAAGCGGGGGTCTCTTTCAAAGATAATTGCCACAGGCAAGCCATGTTGGCGAAACACACGGTCGATAAACAGATTTGCGTTACCTTCAGCATCGATGGTATCCAGAACAGCCGCTAAGTGAGCCATCTTGCTTAATCGGTCAACAAAGCCCACAATACCAGTGTTGCCTTCAAAATCTTTTGGTAGGCCAAACACAAAATCCATGCTCATGGATCACCAATAACCAGTGGGTACTGGCAAACTAGCCAGCGGCGCCGCCGCATGTGCTGAGGGTTTAACCCGTTGACACGTTTCGCACGTATGTACCTAGGTGCTCACCCACTTATAAAGTTTGGGCCACCAACAACTTTGGCTCACCGAGCTACAAGTCTTCCCACGACCGAGATGACCACTAAAAGCAGTATCATGTGCCTCATGGAGGATTCGATACTTTAGTTCCTCATCATGAGGTATAGCGATACGAGGGTTATCCTCAATATCCGTGCGATAGCACAACAGGCCATTATCGATGGAATATTGATGTAGCCTCGCACGTGTACGTGCCGACAAATCTATGTCCGAGTCTTTTTACTCATCGCTCCCAAGAGCACGTAGCAAAGCTACACACTGATCATCCTTGGCACATGCCGCACGGATTAAGTCAGTGACTGACGACGACAGAGTTGTAACATGCGCAAGCTTATAGTCAGGTCGACGCGATAGCGCATCGGCCAAAGCATTTTGCTTACCTGGCTTGTGCTTCACCTCGAAGTTATATTCGGCAAAGAAGGAAAGCCAAAGAGCCATTTTCTGTGAGAGATGAGGCGACTGTGTCGCTGTGCGTAATGACGCATTATCAGTATAGATCATAAACGGCTTTGAGCCCAACAGGTGTACCCTAAACTTAACAAGGGCATACTTCATCGCAAGTAGCTCCTTGTCATAAACTGGATAGTTTTTTCAGCAGCTTTCAGCCGCCGAGACTCGAATGCATTGACGCGTTCGCGTCCATCGACATCTGTTTGTAACAGAGGACTGCCAATGGCAAAGTCAGAAGCGTCACATACGACACTGAAAGGGCGATCAGGATCAGGCAAAGCCAGAATTGGCGCCTGAAGGAGACTCTCCTTAATGGCTTCAAAAGCCTCGTGATGTTTGGTGTTCCAACACCATTCCACATCCTTTTTAAGGAGATTGGACAATGGCCGAGCCATATCTGCGTAATTCGCACTGTACTTATGTAAGTAATTGGCAAGGTCAAGCCACTTACGCAAGTCCTTTTGGTCCTTGGTAACTGGCCAATCGACTATGGCTTTTACCTTAGCGATATCCGCTCGAAGGCCTCGCTTCCCAATGAAGCACCCTGGAAAGGGAATCTCTTCTGCACCATAGATGCACTTAGATGCGTTGGCATACAACTTATTCGTCCGCATACACTCGAGCACCGCTCGTAAATGATCGATGTGATTGTCCACATCTGATCGCCCATTCATTGCACGACTATGGACAAAAATGTCATCAAAGTACGTTTGTGCATAGCCTCGATGAGGTCTGAATAGTTGCGTTACCAACCGGTTAAATGTTGCAGGTGCGTTAGATAGCCCTTGGGGCATCACTAACCACTCCCAAAGCATACCGCTCGGAGTGCTGACCGCTGTCAGCGGGATATCACTAGCTCGCATGAGCAGTTGGTAATATCCATCGACTAAGTCGAGGGCACTGTACATTGTACATCCCTCCATATTGTTCTGAAGAACATCCTTGCGAGGAATCGGTGTTTGAGCCGGGATAGTGGCTGCATTCAGCTTATTGTAAGCATGCACTATTCGCCGCTTCCCATTAGGCTTTCTCACACAAAATGTGGGCGTAGAGTGAGGATACTTACTCTCACGCACCATGCCAGCCGCGTGCTTTGCACGAAAGAACTCGTCAATGACGTCACATTGTTCTCGTGGCAGCGGCCACTGTCGCGTCACACAGTATTTGGTTCCTGGAACCAAGTCAATCTCATGACGTACACCTCTATCCGGAGGTAAGGCAGAAGGTGGGTTGTGACACACCACATCATGAAATTCCTTGACTAAAGGATAGAACGGATCCAAAGGATCTTTAAGGATCGAAGATCCACTTCGTGCACTAAGTGCCGCCTTTGTATCCTCTAGGACAGACTCATCCATTAACGAGGAAGAATTCAACTCAGTATCAGGTCTAATGATTGCTAACTCGGATAACTCTCCTGCCTTCAAGGCCTGGCTAAACTCGCCATCAGACATTTCGTCTAGCTCACACAGAGCGTCCACAGATGGAAGGGTTTCGAGGCTCACATTGCCATTAACCTGACCAGTCACTCCATTAACAAGTGTATATAGTGCATTGCTAATCTCACTATGTGACTGTGAGGACGCCTGGCGCTTTACAGCTGCTACTCGGCGTCTCGATTGTCTCTTCGAGACCTTACACCCCTTAGGGGTCGGGACAATATTGTCCCCATGGTTACTACCAACCATAGTACGCTTTACACGAGAGCTTTTGTCTTGACCGACATTAGGTGTGGTGCCCTCACAGCCGCCCACACTATACGGCGTATCGCCAACAGTGTCATTAATCACATTAGGTGTGGTGCCCTTACGGCCGCCCACACTATACGGCGTATCGCCAACAACGCCATTACCGGCATTAAGCGTGGTGCCCTCACGGCCGTCCACTCTATACGGCGTGTCGCCAACAATATCATTACTGACATTGGGTGTGGTGCCCTCACGGCCGCCCACACCATATGGCGAATCGCCAACAACGCCATTACCGGCGTTAAGCGTGGTGCCCTCACGGCCGCCCACACTAAATGGCATATGGCCAAAAATGTCATTACCGACATTCAGTGCGGTGCTCTCACGGCCGACCGCACTCGGTGTAATTTCACGTGCCACCATACACACATCAAAGGAATCACGTCCTTGATCACTCGGCCCTAGGCCAACCATGCTTTCAGCATGCAGTGACTCGTTATCACAACGAGTACCAATCAACGGAGTACGTGCCGTTTCACTAGTTTTAGACGAGCTAGGCTCGAAACTTATGTTTTTAACATTGGAGTTAGATAACTCGGACATTCCAATATCCAGCACATTGACATCTTCTGTCAAAGGCTCGCGCCAATAGCGCTTCTGCTGCCTAGCAAAGGTGGGTTCATGACTCTCCAAAGCTTCGCTAGGAACTATGCGCGTAGCGCCTAAGGTCTTAGACCTCCAATCAATCCATGGCTCATGGCGCTCAAGCCAAGCCATACCTAGAATGAGATCATATCTCGAGTCCAAATCTAGGACAAGACAGCGCTCAATACTGTCAAAGTCTAAAAACTTTATACCTAAGTTCAATGGAACTTTAGGCACAGTAACGCGACTTCCAGTCGCTAAACGAACCGTGATAGAATCACCCTCATGCGCTGTAAGCGCCTCAGCATAACGCTGACTTCCCTCAAGGGAACGGCGTCGAGCATAAATGCAAGACGCTCCAGAATCGATCAATATCGACCAAGGCTTCTCGAAGCCCTTAATTTTCGCCTCGGCGACCAACAAGCCAGACTTGTATCCACGCACCATACCCGTAGGTATGGTACTCTTTGGGGCTAAGCCCTGCATTCCTTTACCTTCTAAAGGTGTAACAGAACATTATTCTTCCCCAGTAGGGCGCCCCGCGCCTACTGGGTGTCGGCATTTCCCCGTGCCATGCCAGACTTCTGACTCGGGCTCGAGTTTTGGCTCGTAGTCTGGCGTTGCTTACGCAAAGGGCAACCAGGCCGCAAGTGTTTAGTGCTTCCGCACGTAAAGCATCGTCTTACAACGTGTTTCTGCTCAGCAGCTTGAAGCTCAGCTTCACCTCCATCTTCAGCATAGCTGAGATCCATCGGTTCCGGCCTATTATAGGCAGTGGTACCCGAATAGTTTGCTCTCACAGAGCGAGGATTGTATCCGTTCCAACCAAGTCTGGCCGACTTGAAGTTATGCTCAGCATTAAGAGCAATTCTCACAGCCTCTTCAAACGTAGAGGGGTGAACCCGAAAAACTTCGGTTCTGGCAATGCCAGTACGTAGACCTTCCATGAAGATAGTCACATGGACTGCTTCAGGCAAAGGGTCAGACTGCATTGCAGCCATGAGCGTTCGCAGCTCTTGGACATAGTCCGATAATTCATTCTTACCCTGGCGGGTAGAAAGAAAGCGTGAGCGCACGCGGTAAGCCTGGTTAGGTGGAGAAAACACCTGTACCAATTGTAACTTGAGCGACTCCCATGTGGGAAACGCTATGTCCACCGACGTGCTACACGTCAAGGCCCATTCTCTAGCTCTACCATCGAGCTTCGA